CCAATATAAAAAACGTCAATGCAAAACAAGTACGTTAGGCGGTAACCTCTTTAAAGAAATCCGCCGGCAGTTCCGATCCGGTGAAAGCCCGGGTGACTGACGCAGGCCCCACGGATTCTGGGGGGGGGGAGGGGGCCACAAAGACGTGTCTCATAGTCAACAGGAACTGCTAAATGCTCCATGGCCTTTCTTTACAGACAAAGTACGACGAGAAAGCCTGTCGAGTATAGGCACTAACGACACCAAGGTTAGCAACGTGTCGGTATTTAGCCACTAGACCCAGGAAGAGCTTGCCTCTTTAGAAGAAAGTGTCACTAGGCTCGGAGTAAAGCGACAGCAAGTTGCGGATAAAGTCCAATTAGCGACGAATGACATAACAAAGACGCTGCAACTGATTAATGATAAGTACGGCCACACAGCGAACGCTGTAAAAAATGGGCTCAAAGCGGCGCTTAAGCATCTTCAAGAGGCAGAGGTGCTAAGAAAAGGCTGTCTTACGGAAGAAGATTTGTATACAAACGCTTGGAAGTCGTCATTTGAATCCCTGCAGAAGAGGGAAAAAAGGCGAGATAACTTCCGACGGCATATACAGAAACGAACCCTGAACACTGCCTTGAAGAAAATAGAACGAAGTAAGAGAAACAGGAGCCCATTGGACAGCCCTGAAAAACGCCAGCATACTATGTCTTTAAAGAAAAAGAAGACAGGTAGTGGCAAACAAGAAGAAATTTCCCTGAATGACAAAACAAGCAAGAAGAAAAAAGTGGACGCCACATTAACAGTAGTAGTGAAGATGGCTGAAGGACAGACCTTTGCAACGGTGCTAAAGACTATGAGGGCGAACTATGACCCCGATACGGCTAAAGTGGCGGTCCAAAGTGTTGTCACTACAAAAAAAGGAGACATACTTACTAAGGCCAAAGGTGTAGAGAATGCTACGGCATTCTCACAGCAAATTGAAAAGTCGGTAGCCGGACAAGGTACTGTCAAAATAAGCAGCAGAAAAGTGACTTTAGAGGTCCGAGACGTGGATGCCATTGTAGAGGAAGATGAGGTCAAAAAGGCTTCCGTTAGGACTTTCGGACATCAGAGCTAGGAGCCAGAAGTTGCTCTTTTAAAGCCAAATGCCAGAGGACAGAGGCTGGCTTTAATAAAGAAGGACGAAGCCTCTGTCAGACAAGTAGGAAAGGAAGGCAGGTTTAGAGTTGGCTTTGTAAGCTGCCGAATTCGAAGAAGAATCAAAGTAACAAGATGTTACAAATGCCTGGGATATGGACACGTCACGGGCAACCGTGAGAACGAAAACAGATCTGAGCTGTGCTTCCAGTGTGGAAGCTCAAACCACCGGAAGAAAGAGTGTCCAGGCCCAGCACGGTGCTTCCTTTGCCCAACAACGGACAACAAGCACGAAGCAGGCAGCGGGAGCTGCCCTTTATTCAGAAGAGCCCTGAAAGAGGCAAGGTATAAGGCCTAAGTAGGATCAGAGAATAAGGCAAAAAGGCTTTAAGTTGAAAGACACGCTAATGTGGACCCACGTTGCGCTGGGTACTTTTCACTCATCAGCAAGGAAAAGCATTAAGCTTATAGTGGTGCTGGCTAAGTAGGCGGCATACTATGAAGCGCTAGACTCAGGGACCCCGAGTCCTTTTCAGGACTCGAGAGCATCAGCACCTCTAGCAAATGGTGACGAGTTAGCTCGTTGATGCTGTGAGAAGCGATGGTCTCCCTGGTGGCTCCACCCTGAAGTACTGCTAACGCGGTTCCGGGGTGGATCAAAAGCCACGCAGCATGGGGGGGGGTTTAGGTTGTATGGGTGGTCTAATAAAAAAAATCCACAGAGTCCTACACTACCGCTGTCCCTGCGGTGTGCCTTAATGCATTTTTCCTCCCTTGCCGAAAAAAAAAAAAAAAAAAAAAAAAAAAAAAAAAAAAAAAAAAAAAAAAAAA